CTCCAGAGCCCGGGAGTGAGCGAGAGCGAGCGAGCACAGCGCAAAGCCCGGGTGCCCCGCACGACAGGAAGGCCGGCTGGGCCCTGGGGGGCACAGCTGCCCAGGAGGGCGGCTCTCGAGAAAGACGCCTCCTGTGTTGGCCCACTCGCTGTCTCCCTGAGCGCCGGCCGAGAGTTTGGCCCGGAGGAAGATAGTGTCCCGCCACCCGCCATCAGCGACAGTGGCACGGACCTTCCCTTGTCAGGGGCTGCGATGTGTCCCCAGAAGACCGCAGGCCCAGAGGTCAAAACACAGGAGCCCCTGGCTGCTGGAGGTCACTGGCAGGGGCCCCCCGCAGATCCCGGAGCCTTCCTGGCTGGGAGAGCCTTGCGGAAGTGATCCAGACAGTTGTGGAGCCCGGTCCCTTAGGGGACAAAATACAGTGTGTGTTGTGCGACCTAAGATAGGCTCCTCGGGGCCAGACTGTGGCCATCCCTGGCAATGGCCACGTGTGCCCTTTAGGTGAGGTTTGTGTGGTTTGTGGGTGCCCTAAGAAAGCCAGACATGATTGCTGTTGCCCGCACTGCTGTGGGCATCTGCCTCTGGTGCACACCTGAAAGGGTGGGCTCTCTGAGAGTCAGTGGGCATCCCCACGGTGACTGTCCTCCACTGGGCCTGTCCCCACTGCCCACCAGGACAGTGGTGTTCCTGACACGGTCACTTGTGAAGTCCAAGTTAAGTGACTTGCTCAAGGTCACGCAGGATGTTGTTCACTTTGCTGCTGCCTGTGCTGATGCCCCCGCCTACTTAAACCTTCTGAGGCATCAGCAGGAAGGGGACGTTAAAATGTAGGGGATCCCTGGGGCTGGTAAGCCATGAAGGTCAGTTCTCCACATGCATGTAGGAAGAGAGGAAAGGGGTGAAGGGACTGAATGCTTCTATGCTGGCTTTTCAGGGAACTTCTATTCATGGACCTTGCCCTGGAGCCCCATGTGGGCCATCAGAGGACCGGGCTGGTGTGGTTTTATATAGAATGAAAAGAGAAGACAGGGAGGGAGGGGGACTTAATTTGGCTCCTTTCATCACTAACCCCATGTTACCTAGGGTCAGTTGTGACCATCTCTAGATTTCTTTTTCCCTCCCAGTAAAAAGGAAGGGCTTGTAGAAGCCAGTGCAAAGGGCCGTGCCTTGGAGCCAGGGTATTCACCCGGTGGGGAGCATGTGGAAATCAGGGTGAATCTTTAACTGATGTTATTCAGTATGCTTGGCTCCGTAGGCCTAAACCAGAAATCCAGAAGACCCTGGGAGTACATGGGAGTCCTCAGGCCAGGGAGGTGGTCTCATGATATCAAGATGGTACCTTACCTCCACCCAGGGTCTGGAGAGGGATCTCTGTCCAGGTCCCCTGGAGTCCCTGTGTGCCTTGTGATAATATTAAGCCATTCAAATTAGCCTTCAGTGGGAATGGGTCTCTGAGCCATTTGGGTATTATGTTCCCCTTGACCCCTGCCAGAGCTGCACAGGAGAGCTCAAGATGCCCCGCTGTCACCAAGCTGACCAGCCTTAAATATACTGTCTGCTACTGTTGACACTACTGGGCTCTGGGGCCCATATAACATCAGAAAGGCAGGTGGCTGGGATCCTGAGCAGCCACCGAATTTCTGTCCCGACCAGCCTAGAGCCTGCCTCCAAAAGCATCCTTTCTACACAGAAATCTAAGCTCCACTCTCTGTTAAAGCTTGGCCTCCTCAGTTCCAGAACCAGGAAGGTGGCACCTTGAATACAGGAGGGAAAAAGACTCACCTGCTCCTCCACACCTGCTGCCTAATTCTTCTTATACACTTATGCCCTCCCAGCAGGTGGCCATCTGGGCTGGGTAGCAGCATTAGCCCCCTGGGTCCTAAGGGGTGTGCTCTTCAGCACTGCACACAGCACCCTTTGTCTGTCTGTAGCAGGGACTCGGGGCTCCTATTAGCCACCCCCAACGCCTTTTCTCCACCTGACAGCATCTTGTCGGGAGAGCCTGGGCTCCTTTGGTTGAAGTCAGGTCTGCCAGCTGCCGAGGACCAAAGCTCTCGCTCTGCTGGGCTGCAGGGCTTTCATGTTGCACTTCTGAAAGATAATAAAATATCAATCGTTTTGCCGTAGCAACGGGTTTAAGAGACTTTCTGAAGTATTGAATCGTTAGAAAAAAAATTTTTTTTTTGCTTTTAAGCACAGTGCATTATTAATAAAGTAATCCATTAGGTCGAGCAATGAAGGGTCACCACAGAGACAGAAAGATCTGTTTTGCAAATGGTTAAACTTCGGGTTTTAAGATTAATTGCTTTCATTTGGACGCTTGCTCTTGGCCTAGCTATCTTCACTTTACTGGAACTCAGGGTCTGGGCTTTCTAAATGCTGCTGGGTTTGTCTGTCAGCAAAAGGGAGCCAAGCTCCAACTTTCCTGGAGACATAGCCCTTCTGCTCCTGGCACCTGAAACTTAGGCTGGAACTAGACTGTGGGTGTTGGGGGAGACTTCAAGTCCCAGGGGAGCAAAGGGAGACACTGCCCTGAACCCTAAGACTTAATTAGGCCTTAGCTGTTGGAGAAGAAGCCCTTCAGTAGGGACAGACAGAACAGTGGGAGCTTGGGGTACCAGCACTTGGGCAGGAGAGGATGCTGAGGGCACCCAGCTAGGAGTCCTGGCATGTTCCTGGTGCATGCTGGAGAAAGGCTAGGGTGGGTGTAAACTGCCTCTGGAAATGCCCAGCAGGACAGCTGCAGTGACCACAGGAAGCAGCAAGCAGATTGTGGAACTAAACACCAGACGTGATTCCTAGAGCATTTTTAATAAGTAAAACATGCTTAAGAAGAGTGGAGCTGGGCTGAGAAGGACCAGACAGAAGTCTTCAATTGTTAATGACTGCTAGGAGCACAGCCTCCACAGCTGACTTGGTTCATCTGAGAGGCAGGCACTTGGCTCATGCGGGTACTGACCAGACCCAGCTTGGCCACCAGCAGGACCCCCTGGGATAGTTCATCATGATCGAGACCACGGAGAATCCTGGAGTCTCTCCTGACACAGTGTGACCCAATCCTGCTTGACTCGGGGGCAGTGGGCCCTGATGCTGGGCCTTGCCAGACACCCCAGCCCATTGCCAGGAAGGCAGAACCCAGCAGGACTGGTAAAGGCCTTGCAAGACTAGCTGGGTGGGGATCAGACCTATCACTTACCTGGTGCCTAGAAAGGGGTTGTCTCCATCTGCACCTTCCGTAACCCACCTCCTCTTTGCTAGGAATGAGACGCCACAAATCTTGAGCAGCGTGTACAGCTGCTTCCCCTTCCTGCCCAAACTCAGCCAGGCGGTCTGTAGAGATGGATCCCCGCCCCCTCCTAGAGTGTTGGGTAAAGAGGCAGGTGTTTCTCTCAGCTCTCTGCTCTTCCATTCATTTGCCCACACAGAGTACTAAGTGTGTGTGTGGGGCGGGGGACGGACAGACAGGGAAACAACATAAATTGGTCTGTCGTCCAGAATCCATGTCTCACTAATGTACCCAGATTAACTCAACTGTAAATTGTCTCCTTGGATGGCAGTGTCTTGCTAAAAGTTTCCCATATGATTCATGATTTGGATTGCTTTTAACGGCTATTGGCTAAGCAAGCCGGTGACTGTACAAGGTGATGCAATTGGCATTAGCGAGGGGAGGCACAGGAGCGTGTAATGCAGTCAATACTGCATTAACTACTGATGCCCAATTACAGGGAGCGGGAGAGAGCCTTTCAGGAGCATTAGGACTGGGGGAAGCTGAGATCACTGGCCGCTGCTTGTCTAAAAGCTTCACCCTTTGCGTGCCAGGGCTCAGCGCTGGCGTGGCCTCTCACTTGGCCTCTGTGGCTATGGGAGCCGCCTTTCTCTCTTGCTGTCTCTTACTGAACGTGTCCCACTAAGATGCTTTTAGCACAAGGAAACGTGCATTTTCCTAGAACTGAGACCTCCCTCATCGCTCCCAAGAACAGATTTTCCATCTACCCCACGTCCCATAGTCAGGCCAGGTGAAAGTCCCACCCTCTTCCACTGAAGGAGCCTCTAAGCAGCCCCCATTCGGGAGCAGCACCTCGAGGAAGGCTATTTTGGTCCCTCACCCTTGGGACAGATGGATGATTGTCAGTGGACACTGGCAGCTGACTCTCTGGGGTCGTGGATGAAGGGGATGTGAGGCTCAGACCAAGCCTAGCGGGGCTGCCAGCTTTGGGCTGCCTGAGCTGGGAAATGGCTGTGGTTGGACAGGCTGTGCTGTCTTGAGTAGAAGACAGAGCTGTGGTGGTGTAGCTAGGGGAAGCGGAGATAGAGAGTA